TCACACTCACAGCCACCACAGCCTCGACCTGCTGGGCTCAGGTGATCCTTCCACCTCAACCTTCCAAGGAGCTGGAACTACAGGCACACACTACCACGCCTAACTTATTTTTGGATTTATTGTAGAGACGAGGTCTCACCAAGTTGCCCAGTCTGGTCTCGAACCCCTGAGCTCAGGCAATCCTCTCGGCCTCCCAAAGTGCTGGGATTACAGGCTTTAGCCACCACGCCCAGCCAGTATATACATTTTAAGGGATGTTATCTATGTATGACTTTTCAAAGTTGAAATGAATTATGGTAGTATGACATTCGCTCAAAAGATGGCATTAATCAAATGAATGCTAGTGTCACCATGCAGCTGACAGGACAGTCAAAGAAAACGGCAGAAGCATGGGTGACGTTAAAGGAGCGCAAGACTGTTTTGAAGTGGTATTTGAAATTTGAGAAGGTTATGGAAGTACAATGACAATGCAGGCATGAGTATGCAGCAGAACCTCCAACACGCCTAACAATTGCATGCATTCGTGATAACTGTGAGACGCCAGGTAGTGTGATGTGCACAAGGAATGATCCAGGAGGCCTCGCACAGCAACAAGTCCTGCAGTAGCTCACAGTAATCAGAAGCATCTGGATGCTGATGGGAAACACTTTGAGCACCACTTGTAATGCAGAAGTCAAATGTGACTTGTGTTCATCTTTTGTTATTGGTCTATATTGAGTATTACAATTTTAATACAATTTTATCCTTTCTTAAAATGTGTGTGCTTTTTTGGAGTCAGATCAAAGAGGGTAAAATAATTTCCCATTTCCCTTTCAACTTTACTGCTAGGCAACAACCCTCGTGTCCTTATCAGACATATAGCTGAGACAGAAATTCCTAACAATGGGCAGAAAGCAGAGGTGCACTTCACCAGCTGGACTTGTCTGACACTGCCCAGCTGGTGGCTTCTGGCAGCTACTGTGCTGTGTTCTTGCAGAGATACGTAAGCAATCTCAGACATTTTCCTTGTTTTCTAGTTTCTCCATCCCACAAGGAGTACCTGGGAAGGCTCCACAGGTGTTGGGTAGATGGCACTGCATGGTCTCTCTCTTGGGGACAGGCAAGAGTTTTCTCGGGAATGTTTGTGTTTGTCAGACAACAAAGGAGAAGCTGGGAAGAGGAGAGAAAGAATCATCAGAGTATGTGGCAGCTGGCCACAGTTCCTGGTGGCTGGAAGGCTCCCTGGGCACTCTTAGTCTCCCCCACATTCTGGCACTGACCTCTGGCACTCGATGGAGCAGAACTTGTCACATTAGGCGAAGCTGAGTGAGTAGAACTCAAACTTGAGGTAGATGGACTCGGCTGGAAACACACAGGGAGCCGTTACCACAGCCTAATCAGAGGCTTCCCATAACATTGACATGCTTTCAAAATAAAATCATCAACATCTTTTCCAAATGATCAAAAAATAAAGGCCATTTAGAAATAGAGAAAAATCTTACTAAGACAGAGAAAGAGGTTTGCATGTGTTAATCAAGAACCTGAGATTTTTGACTATTGCCAAAGGAATGCATTCGTGTTCATTTCAGCTATAGGCTGTGACTTCTTAGCAGCTACAGGACATTGCCCAACTCAAGTACAAGCAGAAAGACTTCCAGCCTCTGATACACAAATAAGCAAGTGCTTCTAAAAGGCACAGGATGTGCCTTCTCATTATCTTCACGAATGCGTTAAAAGCATGAATTTGGAAATTTGTATTATGCCTCCTTTCCAAAGACAGTGGTGAACATAAATGCTGTATTAATTGTGTCTAAATACAACATTTTGTAGCAAGACTTACACTGGCTCTAAAATCCCTAAAACTACATTTTTTTTTTTTGCATAAAAAACTTCTTATAGAAATGTTCTGACATGTATGTAAGTAGAGAGAATTTTGCAATAGACCCTCAAATCATGTCTTCCTACAGAAAAAAAAAGTCACTTGGAAATGCTAAGAGCCCTCTAGTGTGTGGTGAGCCCTAGACTGAAGAAACAGCCAGAGGCAGGTCTCAGAGGTGACACCTGTGTATCTTGCCTGGACTTTTCCATCGCTTGCTCCTGTCTTCTTGGAGCGATGGGGCAGTTTTGAGAGTAACCTCTTTGTAGACTCCAGAGACCCATAAAGCAACAAGAGTGTTCAAAGGTTTGTCCTTAAGTCAAGTTCTTGCTTGTAGGACTGTTCATTAGCACAGCAGAATGAACAGAAACTCTCATGATTGAGACAGAAAAGGAATAAACACGACCAGACAAAAAGCTAATTAAGTACCTGCATGTTAAAGACTTCATCAGAGCTTTCTGATTGCCCTGTAATATTGCTTACTTCAGCAGAAGCTTGTGAGGACAGTGAGGAGGAAGAATATCGGTTGACAGCTGGGTAACTTAATGGGCTGTTTCAGGAAAAAAAAATGGTCGTTAACTCAGTCTCTGAATTGCACTTTATCACATGCTGGAACGGTATAAAACCAAAGGGGGGAAAATATATCCCATTTTGTTGTCTCCTGTTTGCCTCAACATAATCAAACGTTTGAGTTTATTTATTTCTCATGCTGTTGCTGTTTCACCAGTGGCAGATGTCTGCAGTTGCCTTGCGGGTTATTTCATTAAGAAATAGTTTCTTTGACAAATTTGTGCCATAAAGAATGAGAGAATCATTCCAGATCATCTTGTGGGGACGCCAAATTGTAAGATAATTTGGAATATGACTTACCTGCGTCTAGGAATTACCCTGGTGCCATCTGGGCTCATAGAAGCAGGTGCTGAATTTCTACACACACGAGGGCTTCCATTAGGAAAATGGACAGGACTGGCTTGTATACAAGCAGAGAACTCCTAAAGACATGGTAAAGAAAATATTTCTGAAACAGTAATAATATAAGTGAAATAACTTAGGAGATATTTTAGTATTCCGGATACACATCCTAATTGTCATAAAATCTTTACACAGGGAGCTATTAAGGTAAGTTCCTATATTATTAAGCTTTCCCTCACTTACATTTTTGTTTTCCTGAAACATAAGCATGACACATCGCAGACAATACAACTTTAATACTTGAGGGCTCCCTGATAAAATGGTGCAGTTTGGTAGAAATACCAAAAGATGGCACTATTGGATATGTCATCATCCCTCTAACAAGCAGCAAATGGCTGTGGTCAGGCTGCCCTACCATGGACATGTGGTGCACGTACCTGTATCCCTAAGCTTGACTTCATCACAAAGAACTGGTCGACTAGCTTTTTGTGAAGGGGTCTCATATCTTGAGGTACAAACTTCTCATGCACGGCCAAACCAAATTCCAGAATCTGTGCCTTGATAACATAAGGAAAAAAACCTACATCAATGACTACCTCTTACTAAGTGCCTACTCCATCCAAGCACTACACTATGCATTTTGCTCATATTATTTGCTAATCCTCTGTATCTGACAAGATAGGAACAATTGTCACTTTATGGGTGAGGAAGTTGAGGTTCAAAAACCCCTGTGTGGAGTAAAAGGCAAATGGGGATTTGAACTTGGCTCCGTCTGATTTCAAAGTCTTAATTTTCTTACTATTCCAAGCTTCTTTCCTCTGTATTTGAGATCTGTAATGACAATCCTTCTTAACAGTATGTGTCCCTTGGGTCACTTCCTAACCTCCACAGGCGGGGGTGGGGAATGGGGGTAGAAGCTGGTACTGTTAGGAGGGTCAGGTGATTCTCCCCTAGGCGTCTAGTCTCTGGATGGCACCCTCTGTCCCATGTTACCCTACTCTCTGCCATCAGGTTCTTCTGTGCTCATCCATCCCTCCTACAGATTTTCAAAATCTGTCAGGGAGGATGGAAAAAACAAACAGGAATTCTGTAACGGTTGCTATGCTTCTTGTTTTTGTTTAAAATATCATTCCTATCCATTTATTATAATGCAACAAGGGAGCAGTTCCTACCAAAACAAAAATGTTTTCCCACTGAGGACCCATAAACATTCTACTTTGCTTTGTTCAGCCATCAATAGCATGCCATCCCTTTGATTTGACTAGCAGCTGTCTTTGACATTGTAAAAATGCCCCTTGTGCTAAAGTGGTCAAAAGAACAACTTCCATAAGTCAAAACAAACCCCACACCACCACAGGGTCTTTTATCTCTGCAGCTCATGAAGATTCTATTGAAAGCCCAGGTCACACAGGACTGACCCTGCTGGATTCCAGCATCTAGCACCTTCCCTAAGGGACAGGAGTATGACAAATCCTGTTTCAGATGACACCCTCCGCCAGTACATGTGCACAGTAAATACCAAGGACACTTCTGAAAGGAAGAGTTGGGGAGTGAAGTGTGTGTCTGAAGCATAAAGAAAGAGGCTGGATATGGAACATAGGAATGGAACCTAAATGTAGGGGCCATGAGCCTTTTCCATTTTGAACAACAGCTGTTAGGCCACCTCCTTTTTTGTTCAGAGAATGTTACACAGTGGGCTCCCCAGTAGGCAGACTCTGGCATAGCAATCAGGATGTTTACTGGGGAGAACCTTGGTACTGCTGCCTGTGGAGGTGGGTCAGAAGCAGGACCTGACCAAAAAAAAAAAAAAGAAACTGAGCCGAACAGTGGTCCTATCAGCCACTGCCAAACCCAGAGGAACTCTGCAACTTAAAAAAAATATTTTTTTATTTTGATTTTTTAGAGACAAGGTCACGTTCTGTTGCCCGGGCTGGAGTGTAGTGGCATGATCATAGCTCAACACAACCTCAAATTCCTGGGCTCAAACGATCCTCCCGCCTCAGCCTCCCAAGTAGCTGGGACTACAGGTACTGGTTAATTAAAAAAAATTTTTTTTTGTAGAGATGGGGTGTTGCTATGTTGCCCAGGCTGGTCTTGAACTTCTGGCCTCAAGAGATCCTCTCCACCACAACCTCTGGAACTTTAATGGTCTGTCAGAGTTGTCCTGTGTTGGGCCCAAATAGCCAGGCTGTCTTTTCTTCAGTCTGGGATATGGGCCATTGAGAAGGTAGTGAGCTTGGGCCAGGTGGCTCTCTGCAGCTGAGGCAATCCCTGAAGGGCCTGACATCTGCAGGTGTCTGTAGAGGGTAGTACTTCCTGCAACTGAGGCAACAAGTCCATCCTGGAAGGAGCATTAGGCAGTGCATCTCTGTGTCTACTAGATAGTTATCTGAACTACTGTGCAGAGGCCCAGAGAAGGATGGTGGTCTCTCTAGTTCCACCCCTGACTTGATGGTCTCACAAAGATGATGTGACCTGCCCATGGTCACATGTCAGTCACTTGTACCACTAGTCCTATAACAGAGATCTCACGTTTCCTAGGCCATGGCTCTTTCCACAAGATCCTAGGAACACAATCAGTCAGGACAAGGAGTAAATAAAGGCTCCTTGATTTTATTTTTCTAGAGAGACTTTTTGGCCCCGAGCTACTATTTTAATTCTGAGGGAAAAATTCAGTCAGGCTGAATATAGCAGATATACTTCTGAGGTAAAGTAATTCACTCACAAGAGACTGTGTTCAGGTAATAAACAGAACCTTAACCATCAACAAAGGTTAGAGTCATTCCATAATCTTAACACTTCTGGTCCCAACCCCAAGATAACTCTTTAATATATGCAAACATTCCAATATCTGAAAAAATTCAAAATCTGAAACATTTAGAGTTCTAAGTATTTCAGATAAAGGATATTCAACCAGCCAGGCTCGGTAGCTCAGCCTGTAATCCCGCGCTTTGGGAGGCTGAGGTAAGTGGATTGCCTGAACCTGTGGGTTCAAGACCCGCCTGGGAAACTTGGCAAGACTTCTTCTCTACAATAAATCAAAAAATTAGCTGGCCATGGTAGCGCGCGCCTGTAGTTCCAGTTACTTGGAAGGATGAGGCAGAAGGATCGCCGGAGCCCAGCAGGTTGAGGCTGCGGTGGCCGGGAGCGACCACTGCACTCCCGTCTGGGCGACAGAGTGAGACTCCAACTCGAAACAAACAAACAAACAAAAACCAAGGATATTCAATATAACGGGCTGCCATAGACTACTCATTGTTAAATTAATTTTTGCATCTGAGTGGGAAGAAAAAGTAGAAGTTAGTAAGTTGGAATATATTACAAGAATCTAACCCTCAATTGCCAGCTGATGTAGAAAACCATGGAGATGTATCTCTGGGTAAGTGAGCACATACCCGGCAAGACAGAGAGAAGGTGATTGGTTTCTGCCTCTCTTACCTGCTCAAGCATCAGCTCTCTTAATCGTGCAATCTTCTCCCCATCCTCAGGGTGACTTAAGATATATTCTTTTACAAAGAATGCCTAGTAAGAGAAGAGATAGTCTACTTCAGGAGAGTTACAAGGGATATGAAAGACACAGTTGTTTTTAAAGACCTGGTATCCTCAGAGAAATGACACCATTATAAACCACATTTAGGGACAGATGGAGTGATTCCTAGTGTGGGCAATTGGTCAGAACGGGAACAGAAGGAAATGATTGTTAAAGGAAGTTCAGTGATTGTACAAGAAGTATCCTTTGTAAAATAAAGAACCAACCTAAATCAATAAGCTATATGGCTGTACCTAAAATAAATTGCGTTAAGATTCAGTATGATCTTGATGGTAACCTCATCTTCCAGGCTAATAAGTCTTTTTGTTTAAAATTAAGAGGGCAGATGAAAAGTCCAGTTAAAGTATCTTCTAAACAAGATCAGATTTTTCTATGCCCATTAACTCTTTGCTGGGGAAAATTATTGTGTATGGACATTCATTAAACAATCCTGATATCCTTACTATTTTTATTCATCCAAGGACAGACACACAAACATACACACCCTTTTATTCTCAAAATACCACAGGTTGGGAAAATGGAGTAAGTGGGCACCATAAATGACTGTATCTTTGCCCTATTTAACAAAGGACTCTGTGTCAATTGCAACCCTATGTTTGCATATGGGCACATAGGCTGAAAAAAAATTCATGGAAGATTCCATAACTGGTAATCTGGAAACTTTCTCTCAAACAATACCTACTCCTTACCTCTTGGTACCTGGAAACTCCCCCATTAACTGCAGCATCTATAACTCCATTCAGGCACATAGTCAGGGGATTAATATTCTGCATCTGTCTTGTCTGACATTGACTAATCAGAGTCTTCAGCTGCTGATTCTTATTTTCCAACACTTCAATTGCATTTTCCAGAGGGCTCATTTCTACCTGCGAAGCAAATGAACATGAATATATATTGGATTTTGTGACATTCAAGAAGAAAGATGCAGTAGATTTTTCATGTTTTGAATTAGCTGTGTTTCTCCTTGGCCTCCATCAATATCTCTACCCAGGCCATCTAGTAGACTAGATAAGAAGTCAAGTTAGTTGTTCACGAGCGACGTTTGGAAAGGGCAAGTAATTATACTCACTGGATGAAATATTGTTTGGAGAACCAGAAATTCTAGATTAGCATTAAATCAACTTAAACTTTAAGATAATATCCAAATGTCTCATGCCTTTTTATTCTTTTTATTTTTTATTTTTGAGTTGGGGTCTCACTCTGTTGCTCAGGCTGGAGTGCTAGAGTTATAGCACCACAACCTTGAACTCCTGGGTTCAGGTAATCTTTCTGCTTCAGCCTCTCAAGTAACTGAGACATCCGGCATGTGCCACCATGCCCTGCTAATCTCCCCCCATCCCCACATTGTCTAGATTGGTCTCAAACTCCTGGGCTCAATCAATGCTCTCACTTTGGTCTCCTTAAGTGCTGGGATTATAGGTGTGAGTCACTGCGTCGGGCCCTCATGTCCTTTACAATGAGTTTGTCTTTCTTTTGAAGGGCTAAATATTCAGAGACCTGAATATTATCATCATCTTTCTAGATGCTTATTTGATACAAAACACCATGGGAGATATAGAGATGCATTTACAAATCCTCCAATGTCAAGGAACTTTCAGCCCAGTTGGGAAGATGGGACATATGCCCATGAACTTCGGATGTATATATAACAGTACCATAAGGTGGCACAGGATGGCACACAGTTGGAAGTTATAGAAAACAAGATAATATATACTGCAAGATCTATTTGTTGAAAGACAGCCAAGTAGAATCATAATGACTTCAGAATTCTGAATTGTATGGGGGATCTAACTGAGAAAATGATAAAAATGCTCTTCAAATGTATGGCAGTGGGATTACTATTGCCATTGACATTCTCTTTGAAGTGAAGGTCTGCCAGACTTTCATCAATAAAGTAATTTGGGCTCACAATAAGCATATTTAAAAACTGTTTCTTTCAGTTAAGGAAACAAATAAGAGTTTTTGAAGGTCACTTAGATCATCTTAAACCAACACTGAAAAATCCTGGAATAATTTGACTATATCAAAATTAAGAATGAGCATCCATCAAAGACACTATAAAGAGAAGATAAACCAGAACATACGAGAAGATACTTGTAACATGTATAACCATCAAGGAGTACATGTTCAGGATACATAAAAACTCCTAAAACCAGTAAGAAAAAGGCAAACCACCCAATAAAAAATGGACAAAAGATTTAAATATTCACTTTACAAAGGAAGAAATTCATATGGTCAGATAATATATGAAAAGGTGTTGAGTTTCATTTGCATGCAAAGAAGTGAAAAATAATACCACAATAACATACTACTAAACGCCCACTGGGATGGCAAAAACAAATTTGACAATAGCAAATGAAAGTGAGAATGTGAGCAACAGAATCTCAATGACTGTTATTAGAAGTTCTTTGGAAAACAGTTGAAGATATATGTGTTTGGTATAGTTATATTTATCTATACTTGTATCTATATATATACCTATATCTATGTATCTTAAGACCCAGAAATTCTATTCCTTGGCATACATTGGAGGAAAAGTAGAGTAGGTGACTTGTGCACATGTGCACCAGGAAACATGTACACAAATGTTCACAATTGTCGCCCAAATTCATATATGTCCATCCATAAGAGAATATATATTGTGGTATGTTCATACAATGGAATAGCAGACAGCAATGAAAACACACTTCAGTCACATGCAATAACCTGGAAAAATATTACAAATAATCTGAAAGAAACATGTCTCAATAGAACATAAAATGTATCACACTGTTAGCCGGGCATGGTAGTGCGCGTCTATAGTTATAGCTACTTGGAAGACTAAGGCGGAAGGCTTGCCCGAGCCCAGCAGGTCGAGGCTACAGTGGCTGGGAGCG